CAGGGTTATGTAGTCGTTGTTTAAATTGCGCTGTAGAATTGGTTACAGGGACAGGTTCAGGTGAAGCAGTGATGTTTTAATATTTTGGGTTGAGACTTTGCTCCCCAAGAGTCAGCCAACAGCTGATTTCTATTAATAGTAGAAGGAGGAAGATGAACAAGAAGAACAAAGGAGAAGAGAAAAGAAGATGGAAAGGCTTACCTTGGAGCGGGATTTGAAGGTCCTGAAGGCACCAGTTTTGAAGATGACCCTGTTCCTCTTACACAGAATGAAGGCCACCATGCCGATCACCACCATCAACAGGAAGAGTGGTGTCAGAACGGCCATGATCCACAGGTTGCTGGGCGGCGTCTTTACCACAGCTACAAACATATACATCTTATTCATTAGTATTTGATTGTGCGTTCAATTTCTCCTGAGCAGTTTAGCTGCTAAGAGACCCTTCAGTGATTACAGAGCGCACAAGACAAGCAGGAATAAACACACTACAACACTTTTTTCAGATCGGGTTGTAAATTTTAGCACTAGGCTTGAGAGAATAGTTCGACAAATATGGGAAATAAGTTTATTTGCTTACTTGCCGAGAGTTAGATTGACTGTATGCTGTGTATGGAGCCAGCAAGTGGTACAGCTTAGCTTAGCATAAAGACTGGAAGCAGGGGGAAACAGCTGGCCTGGTTCTGAGATTGGAAAAATCCACCTTCTTGCACGTATAAAGCTCACTAATGAACACCTTATGTCTCATTTGTTTAATCTGTTCAAAGGAGGATGTAATTTCCACTGGGGATGGGGGGGCATGCTCCCCTCAGTTTTCAAAATCCTAGTTTTGTCACCTTTTTATTTACAGTTTCAGTTAGATTTAAGGCTCGTGCAGACTACATGACTTGCTGTCTTGTAACATGAGTCTTGCAGTCGCTGTGGTGTTCACACTACGTGAATGATCGCTGACAGGGGGTCACACACTACACCAGCTGACAACGACTGTCACCTGACAACTCTATCTGGTCTCCAAACCACGTTTTGTCACGAAATTACACGAAACTAAACATTTTAAAGATAAAAATTATAAAGACAAAGAATATGGGTGGAAGAATGGGTTAGCAAACGCAGGTAGCAGGGATTGTCGGTACTACAGAGAGAGCTGGAGATGCCAGATATGCGGCTTGCGTCTGTGATCATTTGCCCCCGATCACAGTCCGACTCTCAGCGAGCTTGGCGACTGGAAAATAGGGCCTAAAATGGTGTAGTGTGAACCAGGCTTTACAGTACTCACTTCATAAATCTCTCTAAACAATATTTTCTTACTGTCCATCTGTCGAAATCCCGATGAGAGCAAAGAGGAGCTGATAAAAATGTGGCCTTCAATTAATACTGTACAGAAATTATATGAATGATTTGCAGACTTTTTGAAGATTTCCTATTACTAAGTTAGGCTTACTGTCTTCTGACTGTCTTCTAGCTTCATATTTAGCACACAGACATGAATCAAAGCAAATAAGAATATTTCTTTCTTTGAGCTCAGTTTGCCAAAGAGATGTGTTTTCATTTTCAGGGCCATCAAGGTAAACTAAATTAATTTTCCAAGAACATTGTGTTCAGTTTCCGGCTTGTGCATTGTTAGGAGGATCTGTGAAGGGCGCTGATTGTTTGTGGTATCTGTTCAGTTTGTTAATTATGCATTCCGGGAAATGATAGGGAGAAAAGGTGAGAGGGAACACTTTGTCCTATCCAGCAGCTACAGTATGAACATCCTGCTGAACATTTTCTGAAAACCATTTAATAACAAATATACACAACGTCATCTGAGTTAACACCAGATAAGGGAGGAAACACAATCTTTGATTTGATTTTGGGAGTTAATGCTTCATTGGATGAACAGGGAATTATGGAAATTTATTGAAATTTATTTAAAAAAATAAAAAAAACATATTCTAGCCAATGTCACGGTAAGCCAAGACTGTTGCGCTTGAGTTCAGCAGATAAGTCATAAGAGCATTTAAACTGGGAATGTTTGTGGCAGTGTGCTGTGCCTACAAAGGCTGCTGAATCAGAAATGTGCTCTATGACTCGACTGTGGGTCACAATATTACATAGGTGCTAATAGCTAAATGCAAAAACTAAATCTGTGTACATACAGTGGGTACGGAAAGTATTCAGACCCCTTTAAATTTTTCACTCTTTGTTTCATTGCAGCCATTTTCCAAAAATCTAAAAAGTTCATATTATTTCTCAGTAATGTACACTCAGCACCCCATCTTGACAGAAAAAAACAGAAATGTAGAAATTTTTGCAAATTTATTAAAAAAGAAAAACTGAAATATCACATGGTCATAAGTATTCAGACCCTTTGCCGTGACACTCATATTTAACTCAGGTGCTGTCTATTTCTTCTGATCATCCTTGAGATGGTTCTACACCTTCATTTGAGTCCAGCTGTGTTTGATTATACTGATTGGACTTGATTAGGAAAGCCACACACCTGTCTATATAAGACCTTACAGCTCACAGTGCATGTCAGAGCAAATGAGAATCATGAGGTCAAAGGAACTGCCTGAAGAGCTCAGAGACAGAATCGTGGCAAGGCACAGATCTGGCCAAGGTTACAAAAAAATTTCTGCTGCACTTAAGGTTCCTAAGAGCACAGTGGCCTCCATAATCCTCTAATGGAAGACGTTTGGGACGACCAGAACCCTTCCTAGAGCTGGCCGTCCGGCCAAACTGAGCTATCGGGGGAGAAGAGCCTTGGTGAGAGAGGTAAAGAAGAACCCAAAGGTCACTGTGGCTGAGCTCCAGAGATGCAGTCGGGAGATGGGAGAAAGTTGTAGTAAGTCAACCATCACTGCAGCAATCCACCAGTCGGGGCTTTATGGCAGAGTGGCCCGACGGAAGCCTCTCCTCAGTGCAAGACACATGAAAGCCCGCATGGAGTTGGCTAAAAAACACCTGAAGGAGTCCAAGATGGTGATAAATAAGATCCTCTGGTCTGATGAGACCAAGATAGAACGTTTTGGCCTTAATTCTAAGCGGTATGTGTGGAGAAAACCAGGCACTGCTCATCACCTGTCCAATACAGTCTCAACAGTGAAGCATGGTGGTGGCAGCATCGTGCTGTGGGGGTGTTTTTCAGCTGCAGGGACAGGACGACTGGTTGCAATCGAGGGAAAGATGAATGCGGCCAAGTACAGGGATATCCTGGACGAAAACCTTTTCCAGAGTGCTCTGGACCTCAGACTGGGCCGAAGGTTTACCTTCCAACAAGACAATGACCCTAAGCACACCGCTAAAATAACGAAGGAGTGGCTTCACAACAACTCCGTGGCTGTTCTTGAATGGTCCAGCCAGAGCCCTGACTTAAACCCAATTGAGCATCTCTGGAGAGACCTGAAAATGGCTGTCCACCAACGTTTACCATCCAACCTGACAGAACTGGAGAGGATCTGCAAGGAGGAATGGCAGAGGATACCCAAATCCAGATGTGAAAAACTTGTTGCATCTTTCCCAAAACGACTCATGGCTGTATTCGATCAAAAGGGTGCTTCTACTAAATACTGAGCAAAGGGTCTGAATACTTATGACCATGTGATATTTCAGTTTTCTTTTTTAATAAATTTGCAAAAATTTCTACATTTCTGTTTTTTTCTGTCAAGATGGGGTGCTGAGTGTACATTACTGAGAAATAAAATGAACTTTTTTGATTTTTGGAAAATGGCTGCAATGAAACAAAGAGTGAAAAATTTAAAGGGGTCTGAATACTTTCCGTACCCACTGTATAGTCTGTGTGTAAAAATGTAAATATATGTAAATATAAAAAGAGTTCCCTGTCATTGGAGTTAAAGGAATAATTTAACATTTGGCAATCCAAGAGCTACATGAGGAGATTGATACCACTCACATATCCATTCAGTAAATATGCAGCTAGAGCCACCAACGGGGCAGGTGATACATGATAATGCATTATATAACACTGTACAGTAAGAGAACAAGCTTACGTTCAGCCTGCACTTGTACAAAGTATCCCAGTGTCAGAGCCATGGTCTGGGAGTCCAGACTGCTGAGGGTCTTGGCAGCGCTGGCTCCAGTGACAGGGGATCCGTTCAGCTGGACGTAGTATGTCATCTCTGCAGGGTTCTTGGGACCGGGCAGTCGACGCATGCTCACCATCTGAGGACAAAGAAAGTGTCCAATATGTCAACCATTCTGTAAAAAAAGTTTTAAGTTTTAAAAAACTTTAAACACACTTTAAAAGTGTTTAGATGGCTTTGAATGGTCTACATACACTTACAAATGCATTACCATATCGTATTAGCTCTGGACTCCTTTGTTCAAAAGAATGTCACAGACATAGCTCATTTTAAAGAAACAAAATACCAGCACAACCTATCATCTATTGCCAAAATCCTTTATCTCTCCACACTGATTAAAAATCTCTGTCGTATCTACAGTGGCCCAATCAAAGTTCTGAATCGTCTAGGCTGCTTTGATCATGGCGAGCCATTTGCTGCAAGATGACTGCACTTGGGGAAGACACTCGAGGATAACTGAGTCACTTGAAAATCTCAATTTCCTTTCATCACACATCAAACACCTTTTTTTAATTTGACGAACACATCTCACGGTTTAATCAAGTCTAGTAATTTGATTTTGTCATAAAAAGAAGGGATGTGTTTTTAAATGGCTGGATGATTTCTCCCCCTTGCTACATTTTCTACCCCCCAACACCCCCCTGATAAGCCTCTCCCGCCTCCAATTCTGCAGCCATAAAACTGGTCATCTGTGACTTCCCATAAAAACTTGAGGGTGTGTACAGAACAAAGCCCAGGAGGAGTCAATCACTGGCTTAATTTGCACACAACAACAACACCGGGCAGGGAGATGACACATACAGAAAATATCACACACACAAACCGTTGTACGTCTGTGCTTATGAGAACCTTCAGTTCAAGTACACTAAATCCCTCATGTTCATCCCAAACTACTACCTCAGTCTAATGTTTATCTTGCCTGTTTTTAAATGACCATATTCGGCGAGAACGATACCAACAAAGACATGATATTTTCCAAAGCATACTGTGCCGTGAGTTTGTTCATGGTTTTCATTGGCAGCATTGGTTTCATTTCAGCTGACAATGAAGATCTACTTGCAGATTTGAGGCCTGTTTTAAAAAAATTATAATCCATATGAATTTATTTGCATATTTAGTTATTTATGTTTGAAGGTTTAATATTGTGTGGCATAGGTTTATGAACTCCCCTTCTTGATGGATTTAAAGATAGCAACCTTTTTCATGCAACAACTATTTGAGGTATGGCTACAACTAACAATTATTTTCATTATCAATCAGTCTGCTAAAAAATTTCTCAATCCATCAATAAATACACAGGATAATTTTTAAAGCCCAATGATATCAAATTGCTTGTTCTGTTCAACCAACAGTCTAAAGCCCACAAATGTTCAGTTTGCTATCACATCAGACGAAGAAAAGCAGCAAATTCTCAAAATTAAGACGCTGGAATTAGGGAATGTTTCGCATTTTTGGCTTGAAAACAAACCTCAGGGACTGATCAATTATCAAAATAGTTACCGTTTCTGTAGATCAACTACTCACTGCAGCTCCAATTGCCTATATCAGTTTTTCAACGCATGCTGATTTCTCTTTCTGTCTTATGTTTCGGACAACTTCCTTTCTGATCACTGCAGGCAATTACAAATATAAACAAATATAAAATCCTGGATTTTGGAGCTTTCTTCAACACATCACCAAGGAGAGTTTTCAAATCTGACCCAGCTCAGACGTGACAAGATGGTGCTGTCCACGGTAGGACTGCAACTAATGATTATTTTTGTAGTCGACTCATCTGTTAATTATTTATTCGATGAGTCGACTAGGCACGATTATTTTTGTCCCCCCCAAACCCTAACCCTAATTAAACCATTTAACTAATAAACTTCAAAATGTCTGAAAAGGACCATAAGAGTGTTACCACCTGCGAGGTGCAAGCAATTCTCGGCAGGCATCATGCAGAATTGGTTCACAACACCGGCACCGCTAACCTTGCGGGTGCTTGTGGAGCTTCTCAGCCCCCTAAAACTTTTGTAAAACTGCCAATATTCAAGTTCTACACAGTTGTTTTCTTCGCCTCAAAACCTCTCAAAAGTGTGATTAAATAGCGTACAAAACTTGTAAAAACAAAAAACCTTCAGCTATTTCTCCACTTCTTACTACTTCTTTGTGAGTTACAGTCAAGCAGTCATGGCAGACAGCGCCCCCAGCACTTCCTGTAGTGCATTGCAGTTAGAAATAAACAACCAGAAATGTTGTTAAAAGAAGATTGCTATCTCTCCCTAAAACAGCATCTTTGTAACGTTGCGTCGGCAATGAAATTTCACCTCAGCAAATTTTTATAATCAACGTCGTTGATTACGTCGACTAATCGTTGCAGCCCTAGTCCACGGTGCTGAATGTGAAGCTGGCTTGAAGTTTTATACCAACATTTAGTGTCCTCGGAGGATTAATCGGACTGACCCGGTGATAACTAACTTTTAATTGTAGGCCAGTGTGACATCTCCACATTTACTTGATGTATTGGCACACAACCTGGGACAGTGCATAGATGGTTTACAGAGGATGAATCCTGATTGGTCATCTCCAATTTGAACAAAACTATGTTTATGACCATGGTAAACATTACACCTGTAGGCTCTCACTGTTTTGTATTTTTGCTCCTGCTAAATCAACTTGTGTTGTGTTCTCTACGGACTACTGGAAAAATCACAGTGGATTCGACTACATCACACAAAATTCACTTTGACAGAATATGCAGGTGATTACCTCTCCGATTGAATGATTGATTGATTGATTGATTGATTGATTGATTGGTTGGTTTATTTTTCATGCTCTAAAGTTGAAATAATATCATAAACTATCACCCTGCAGATGTGAAAACTGTTAAAATAGTTTCATTTGGAAAGATGTGCAGACTGGTCCTTTTAAAGCAAAGAAATGTACAAGCATAAAGAGAATCTTGCCATCGCTACCGCTGGTATTACACACAATGACACACAAAAATCCTATTCGCACCTACCTGTACAGTATAACCCCCCACGGTGGTGGCCCGCCGAGATCGTGCTGCCCGAGAGCCCTGCCTGCCGGCCACCAGGAACAGCTCAGCCAGCCGCTGCTCCATCAGGCTGGCGAAGCTCTGGTAGTTGGCCTCCAGGGAAGAGCTGTCCACATCCTGGATCACTGTGAGCAGAGACGAGAGAGGACAGAAGAGGGATTTAGGGAGTAAAGAGGCGTTCAGGCATGCAAAGAGGGGCGAAAGAGGAGGCAGGTGAGGGGATGGTGGGGGGGGGGGGGGGGGTTGATAACATGAGGCAGGAGAAGAGCAGAGAGAGGGAATGGGAAAACGGGTGATAGGAGGGAATGTGTGAAGACGGAGGAGGTGAGAAAATATCAGAGGAAGATCATTTCAGGACAGTATTGATATTGAGGAGAACAAGGGAGGAGAGAGGAAAAGGAGATGAGTGGGATATTAGACAGCACTGGATGATCGTCCTTTTCATTTAAAAGCTGCTCATCCGGAAACTTTTATTACAGCGTCATCTCAAGCACACACGCACACAGAAATAAACACAAACACATATCGATGCACACACACACACACACACAGGTGCTTGCATCAACCTTGCTCCTGAGTGTTTTTCTTACTAGAGGCTATAAGTGAGATGGAGCAGTGGACACACTTCACACACACACACGCTTCAGCATCATTCACGCCCGGCCGTGATGTGATGTGAAGTGATCTCTCCCTCTGCCCCAGTCAGGAAGCTGTGAATTATACATCAATAGGTTTTCTCAGGAACAGAGCGGCTAAAGACACTCTGAGCACAGAGAGCACGGGCAGGCGGGTGAGGGAGGTAATACAGAGGAAAGGACAATGTAGACAGCACCTCTATTCTGCCGAATTGCACAACAGCGAGCACCGGGGCTTTTTACTAACTACTGTTTGGTCCAATCGATGCAGCTCCTGATTACCGCTGATCACCCAGTTGCACTTTTTGTGTGTGTGTGCAAGAGCAATTTACCTGTTATCACCCAATAGTTCTTGGTTGCCATCGACGTGTTGAGATTATGGTATTCAAGGGCTGAAGAGAGAAAGAGAGAGGAAGTTAAAGGTTTTTGCGTTTTTTATAAAGCCTAGTAAAAGACTTCTGCAACACCACCTGGATTTGGAGGACCACCAGTTAATAATGCATTTCCTACATTTCACACATAATTCCCTGCTCACCACTTTCCAGCTTTTTACACAACTTTTAACCCTAACACAAATTTAGCTTATATACGATTTTATAAACTTTTCATAACATATGGGTTGGATTAACCAGTTACGGCCCCTGAATTATGTTTTACATCTACATAATAAGGAAACAAATAAAGTGACATTGTGTTGATACAAAACATATCTGCAAAATGTTGACTGACAATTTATTTTATTTGCTTTCCAACAACATTCACTCCTACTCGCAACTAAAGCATGATTAACACTTATCATTGCTATGTTTAGGCACTAACATTTAAAAACAACCCTGTCATCAGACCCCAGTCTTTGGTGTCAAAGCGCTCTAATTCCATCCATCACAACCACCTCTCTGCAACTTCAGTGTGGTACAAAACACGTTTCCTTCATGGGAAAAATGTTGCCACTGAACAAACAAAACCATGGAACAACTATGTTTTCCTCAATATGAATCAGTAATTTCTGGAAGACAGAGTTACTGCAGACTACACATGGAAGTCATTAGAGACAAAATCTGAGGTTGTGTGTGTGTTAGGGCTATCCCCTAAACATCATTCGAAAAGTCCCTGAGTCAAATCCCTGTACTTGTATTTATTTTTTATTTGTTTAATTCATTGTCATTATACACAGAACACTGCAGGATAACAGCACAGCAGTCTATAAACTTTTACAAACAGAGTCTTGTCTTAGAAACACTTAAAACTACAAAACTAACTGTATTGGAAACAGAGAAGGGTGATGGAAACGGAGGGCAGCATGACGCTGGTACATCCTGTTCTTCTGCTGTTCAGATCACAGATAGTGAACAAAGGCATTGACGTAAAACTCATGTAGGCTGTAATATGAGTTTAGTGTGGGGCAGCTGGTGCAGATGCAGATGATCTGGACTGTTACTGTAAAAGTAAATGTCTGTATCTGTATAGCACCTTTCTAGTCTTTGTGACCACTCAGAGCGCTTTTACACTACATCACACTCACCATTCACCCACATTCATACACTGGTGGAACAGCCACCAGGGGCAATTCGGGGTTCAGCATGTTGCCCAAGCCACTCCTGGAGTGAATAATATATTCTTTATGATTATAAGTCATTAGAGATACTAAATTACGATCACGACTGGCCCCCTGTAGTCAGCTTGCTCATCAGGTGAAAACAGTGTTGTGACAGCTTTAACCAGAAAAGTGTTAAAATCAGATATGTTCAATCAAAGCATAGGTGTTACTACTACTATTTACAATGGGTCCCCGTAAGCATAACAGTGTAACAGTGAGTCAGCATGCACAATATTAGGAGCAGATTAATGTAATTCATTTTATAATTACACCTGTGCTTTTCCTACTGCGACATGCCAACACATATACACATATTTTGAGAAAAGGTCAAACTATGACAAACCTATTTACCCACAGTGAGACTTTTGGGGCCCCTGGGAGCCTAGAAGTCCATATGCCCACTTAGAAATCTTTGGGTAACCTTTTTATGCCCAGGTTTAGAAATCAAGGAAATTTGAACGCAGTTTGAAAAAGAATCTCCTCAGGTGGTACATTCTGTCGGAACGGAGTTTTGTGGAGGCATTCAGGACGTGACTCCACTTTCATGTTGATCGAGGTATTTCCGACACGTGCTAAAAAATTTATTTGGAAATTTTGATTTGTCTTAGTCAGACTGCTGAAGCCTCATATTAGCTGTAGCTGAACTTGCAGAGAATGCAGTTATGCACATAACAAAGATGTGAGTTGAAAAGGGGTAAAACTTAAAAATGTGCTAAATATGCCTTTTATTGGTGTATTTTAATACTGCTGATTCAAGTTTTGACGTGATTACTTTGATCAAAAGCCTGTTAGGGATCCATGGAAGCCATGAAAATGTGACAGATGTTTCTGTCCTGCAGAGACAGATCTGCAGAGGAGGAGATTTTTAGCAGTGGCCCTTGGCACGGATGATAAAATCCGATTAAACACAGCTTGTCAGGTTTCATTACCAACCTTTACTTTCTGACCTCTCACTGTCTACTTCCTCTATCCATCTACACCAGCTCTCACTTTCTTTCTGCCTGCGTGCCTCTGTACCTGCCTCATTCTCTACCTGTTTACCTGTCAGCTTCTTCATTTCCTAAAATGCCTGTTCCTTTCCGTTCAGCCGACTGTCTCCCTCTGTCTACTACCCATCATTGCTCCCTCAGTCCATCGCCCTCTTTCTGTGTCCTATTCATCTGTCAACCTATCTCTCCTTATTTCCCATCTGCCTGTTTCACCATCTGTCTCCACCTAACTCCTCCGAGCTGGCAGTCTGCCGAGAGTTGTGTTCAGCTTGAGTCAATGGCGCTGCAGCAGTGGTAGCTGTTAATACCAGCAAGTGTTTCTGCTATGCACTCTGTCTGCCTGTCTGCTGCCGCCTCCCTGGTGCCTGTACGTGAACAAATTCACATTCACTGAGCTTTCTTCAACTTCTTCAAACAAGCTCACATGAACACTTAAGACATACAGCACTGAAGTGTTAAGGATCAGACACATTCAGTACCCTTCAGAGAATCATTTCAATGGGCCAACGAACTATTCATTTTATTACCACAGCAGCTGGAAACTTTTGTTGCATAATTCCAAAAGAGAGAGAAGTAAAAACCTCCAATCGAATTATCAGCAAATGTAAGATGATATGTGTTATTCTAGATTTGTCCTACTGTCAACAAATCCAGTGACCAGACCTAAACCTACAATGAATTGTCTGTCTCTCAATACTTTGACTTCTCAACCCTGTCTGTGGCACTCAGTTTCATTTTTTAAAAGGCTCTAAAATTTACCAGCTGAGCACTGCAGTTTTTAGCAAACGTAACTCAAACAGGAGTAAACAACAGGAGGGCATTTGTTGCGCACTATTTTCAGCCATGAAATAATACACATTTGGTGCTCTAGGGAGTATTTCCAGCAGAAGGCACTACTTGGATTGTTAATAGTTGGTTTTTGTCTTTTCATGTCTTTCATTTGTTTAAGAAAAATAAAATATATAGTGTAATATAGTTTTTTCTGCTCTCTCTCCATCACTGATTTAAGATAGATTGAACATGTGAAAACGGCACATTTGCTTAGCAGTTGGGTAGGTCTTGTCAATGAAAAAATAAAGTGATGTGTATGTTTTAAGAGCTCAGTCTTAAGTGTGACCACAAGAAGCCGCAAGAAAGCCTCAAGATTATGGCTGAACGGGCTTGACTGACGGCTAATAATGAATAGGATTTTTGAGGCTGACACCAAGATTCATATTAGAGAGTTAAAAAAAAAAGAAGAGATAAATAAACATTTTTGATAAGGTAAGGTTTTTAACAATTGCAACCGAAAAATGTAAAGGGCAGGACATTTAACAGTTAAATGAAGAAAAAAAAAGGTTCACCACTATTTGGTACAAACAATATAATGTTGACACTGTTTCAAAGCATATATTGTATTTACATACATCAATTTCTTATAATTTATGGATTGCCATAAAGGCATACCAATATACCTTTGATGAGCTATTGTCGACAGACTTATCAGTCGGGCTCTAGCAGCCATGCACAGAGGAACACTGTTGGGTGTCTGCTCTACGCAAACATGTTCACACAGGTGCAATCAACACCTATAGTAGATAATTAAATTAAATTTAAATTATGTGGCTTATTTGTGGCTATCCATACATGGAAAGTACAATTCAAAACTTGAAACTAGTTGAAAAATTAGGAAAAGCTATTTATTCATTCTCAAACAGGATATTATGAACTTTCTGTAATCATAATATAATAATTTGCTGTATTGTTGGATGGGAAGTGGGAAAGTACTGTACATGTACTGTTTATCCTCCAGAGTACAGATTGTAAATGAATCTCTAGTTCAGTGTGGTAGTGCTCTCCAGTTAAATGGTTACATGCTGTAAACATGGAGGCAGCTGCCCACACACACTCCTCTGCATGTAAACAGATGGTGAAGGTCAGTATTCTGGCTGCTTTGATCACATGAGAATTTATCATCCATTTGTGCTCTCAATATAACCACAGTTAATGCATCTGTGCCAATAGATATCTGGACTAGTCACTGTTATCACTGATGTGTGTCTACTCACAGCCATTCTTCAGCCGATCATTAATTTACTCATCGCTTCATGTGATTCTGTTATCATTTGCTCATTGTTTTGTGATTAGTCAAGTAAGCTGTTCTTTAGGGACAAACAGAATTTCTCTGGTGATGTCAAGTGGGTATGGATGTGACCATGCTGTGGAGTGTGATGTTTTAGCCCTTTGGGTGTTGAGAGCACGCACAAATGGATAGTAATCTAATCTCACCAGGCTAAAATTAGCTCATTCAGGGGACATGGACAACAGATTGCCTATGGCATGATTCAGATGATAGGGGCTGTACAGCTGTTTGCCCTTTAAAAATCCCACAGATGGCATTTGAGGCTAGAGTGGAATACAAACAGAGCTCAAGTGGCTCATCTACGGGGTCTATGGTCTTTTAAGAGTCGGAGTCTAATTAAACAAACAATGCCTGTGTGCACTGCTGTAATAATTAATGTAAATAATCATGTCAATTATGATGTTTTTTTAAGCCGGATGGCAGATGATGTAAATAGTAAAGAATAAAAAAATACTCTAACTAGACCTAATTTGGCTTAAACCTACTGTAGAAAATCCTAATAGCATGTTTCAAAACAACACGGAGATGGGAATCCAAGTTTCCATTGTCAAAGTCCAGTTGTTTTTATGTCCTGCCGGCTTCCCTCTAACTTCCCTTCATGCGGCAAAAGGTCACACACATGGTCACACGAATTGTAAAAAAAACAAAACAAACTTATTCCAGTCCACAATTATGTTTTCTCTCTAATGTATCTGAAAAAGCAAATAAGTAGTATATAAATGTATTTTGTAGGAAGCAGGGTGAGAATGTGAAGCGCATTCTAAGCTGGAGGCCATAGTATAGTCTGCCTTCCTTCTTTACTTACACAATATAGATTAATCCTGAATTCCCCCTTTGAGAAGCAGGTCAAACATACGCTGAGTCATGAATCATGCATTGCCCTGCAGTGAACTCAATGGTTCTTAGCAGTCAGTGTTGTTGAAGGCAGCGTACATATGGCTGTGTAAGTCTGTCTCAGCCCAGCAGCACACTACTAGAGAACAAGCAGGACAACAACTGTTATGTAATGGCTATAAAATTAGCACAAAGAGCTTCCTAATGTCCAGTTCTGTGCTAAGAAAACAGACAGCATGAGTGGCCTTTTCACCGGGGAAACTGACTAACTAGGTTGGGTTAGGTCCTTTTCTGTCCCCTCTTCAGCTCCGAATACCTTTGTTCCTCTTGTGTCAATAATATAATCCTCTACTGCTGGCAGTCCTCCATCCTACCTCCAACCTCTGTCTGGAGAGCCTTTTAAAGAGGTGGTATTATGCTCATTTTCAGATTCAAAATCTTATTTAGGGGTTGTACCAGAACAGGTTTACAGGGTTTAATTTTCAAAATACACCATATTTTTCTCATACTGCACATTACTGCAGCTCCTCTTTTCACCCTGTGTGATGTACGCTCTGCTCTTGGGCTACAGAGTGACGCATCTTACTTGTACAAAATCTTTGTTGGGAGTTGTACATGCACAGTTCCCAGGTAAAGACTACTAGCCAATCAGAGAGCAGAGACGGGCGGGTTGTAAGAAACAAGGTAGTGTGATCCAAATCAAAGCCGCTTCAGACTGCGTCAGTAACGTAGCAGATGGTTTAAGTTACTCATAAGTCCACAACATCATTGTTCCACATCTTACCATAAACCACTACAAAAATCACCATATTTCAACTCAATTCTACATAAAAATTGGCCAAACAATTTGAACATTTGCTCAGTAGCTTTCACATTAGCATTATAGCTATAACTTTAGCTGTGTTAGCCAACGTTTACAACAACTCCGTACTTGAACAGTCTGTGAAGTTACTTTACCGTGTTTATTTTAAATATAATTCACAACCAATAAAGCATACTTACAGGTTGTGATTGTGAATTTCCAGGCCCAAACAGAGTCGGAGTTGCATCGCCTTTTAGGACTAAACGTTGAACTGTTGTCGGTGTTCTGACAATCTATGCTGCCTTACCGAAAAATGCTACCAAAGCGCAAATCGATAGACTCGACTCTACTCGGCCCTGCTCCGTTTTCCATTGCAGACAGTACCCAGAGATAGTGCGTAGCTTGTGTGTGGCGTCGCTATGATGCTATGACGACACCACACACAACTGCCGCGACGTAATGTTCAATGCAACACACACACCAGCGATCCACACAGCTTTCTCTTTTTTAAGTTAAAACATTTCAGCATTCCTCAGAATGTAAAGACAGATAAGCGGTAACCTTCCAGCTGTGTTTTCCTCTGCTATTGTTGCTGCAGCGGTCTGTGTGACGGCGAGAGCAGAGGGCTGTGTGAGCGGGCGGCTGGCCGGCCTCGCCAGTTCCTCCCGCGGGTCACAGCAGGCTTCCCCCGCAGCCACTTGCGGAGCTCCTCAACTCCGAAAATATTCAAGCACATTTTTGTTCTGCCATCACTTCTCGTAAAACTGTCAATATTAGAAATCTACACAGCTGATTTCTCACTTCAAAACTTCTCAGAAGTGGATTTAGTGATGAAATTACATACGAAAACTGTAAAATATAAAACTTTCTGTTGCTGGCCTCTGTCTGGCGCAGCAATGATGATGCAGTGAATAGTGACGATTCTCTCTGACCAATCAGCAGTCTGTCGTGTTTTCACGTTACATTTTAGTATCCCTCAGCTCGCTTGGAACCTCGATGGAGGTGAGGTGATACGGAAAAAAGTACCTAGAAGCAGGTACAACATTTCTACAATGGAAAACTAAAACAAAAGTTGAGCCAAAGGGCCTCCGCTCAGACTAGCTTGGTAACTCAATAAAGGAGAGGGGAAAAGCCAAAAACCATAATACCATCTCTTTAAGACTAAAATAAATCTTTGAACGCAAAAGTATTTTTTTAGGATTCAAGCTCAGCTCTGTACACTTGTTCCCTTCCTGCTTCTGAAAAGCTCAGAAAACACTTGGAACAGGGTTGTGGGCCCAGTTTCTATCCTTTTTGGGTTGTCAAGTCAACCTTCACAGCCTACAGCCTAACACTGAAGCTAAATAAAATATGGCTCCCTTACACTTCCTTGGCACATAAGTGGTTTAAGATTTTTTGCTGTAACAATATTTTGACACAAGACGTTCATGAGCATGTCCAAGTCCATTATTGTGTTCTTTACCTTCGAGAAATATAATGCAAAAGGTGCAAACATAATGATGCAACAGAGGAAGAAAATTTGGTCCTAAAAAGGTAGAGAGGTGATTAAAAGCCAAACAAAGATTTCTATGTCTAAAAAGTCACCTTTTCAACTATAAATGAACACTGACTTTAACAGAGAGAGCATCTCTCTAGTGTGTCAGAGGGAGCTAAAATAACACCCATTAGGACAACATAATGTCAAGTCAGTAGAATGTCAGCACCGATCCTCTGCATTGTACTTCAGCGCTCCTAAATGTCATTTTGGATGAAACTCCTGAAATGGCAGACAGACATAATGCTGTTTTGATAAGCTCTGACATGGTGCATTGACTCAAAAAGTGTATGTGTTACTACAGCATTTAGTTAAACATTGCAAATTGGATATTTGTGTTAAACAATGCAACTGTCAGGTCCACGCTGCTCGTCCACAGATGAATTGCTCAGTTTCATTTTCACTTACAGCCCTCTGTGAATAATTACAAATGCATATAATTGTCCTGCAGTGCCTCTGAGAGGATGGCTTGGAGGTACATCAAGTGAATGAGTATTAAGCACCCTGACTGAACTCTAATTTGTTGGCTAGACACCATTAATTCTGGGTTAGACAATGCTAAGTCTTTGTGTGTAGCCATAAGAGCAAAGCAGCCCTTTGTTGCTGGGATTGCTCAGAAAAGAGCAACGAGCGAGGGATGAATTGTTCAAGAGTAGTGATGCCAACTCATGTAGCTGCTGGCTGCGCAAAATATTCAGACAAGTTGCCAGATGACCTCGTTTACTCATTTGCATATGAATATATTTGGCCTTTCATTGTATGGAAAGCTCTGTAATCATCAGACCTGTTTGGATTAAACACTGAATTAAATACTACAAATGTATGTTCACCGGCATAAACCAGACTATCAAGTGAATTGGAGGGCCAAACTCAAGGGTCAATTTATCCAAATATCAGAAAACAAATTTTCTTGCTTGCCTGCGGTAATCTAGCAGTAAGACTGTAAGCTAGCAAACAATGGATGAGGGATTTAAAATAGTTTTATGCTTTATGATGAAAGAAACAACACTTTTGTTAGAAACAAATAATGCGTTTTGGGGGAAACAGTTAGAGAACATCAGAGGAAACCTTTCACAAGAGTTAATTTGTTGGCTACAGTACAGAAGCTAAAGAATGACAGCACAAAGGCAGCCAATTAACCAGAGAGCTGAGATCACACTTAAACATATTTATCATTAATTAGATGTGATTAGAAACGTCCTCACCACAGCTGTACCTTAGGACCTTCAGGTGCAGTGTGGTTTTACTTACGCTGAGCGATGACCAGGGGTGGGTAGAACAGAAAGTATCCCACAAGCTCGGCGGTCAGCTGGTTGAGGAGGCCGCTGGAGATCGTCCCGTTAAGGATCGCATCCTGGTTCTTCACCACGTACACCAGGGAGACTGACGGAGAGCCCGGCTCCTGGGACACACTCTGGATCTGAGGAGAAGCACAAACACACAAACACATCAATATTTTATTTGAATCAACTAATCAAATAAGTTATGTTCCCCAAAAGTACAATATTAGAACGATTTTTCAATTCTTAATGTATATCAAACACGCAAACAGGCAGCAGCGGACACATGCATAATTCAAACAAACATTCATAAAGAAATATCCAATAGCATCATACCAAATGTCTAAGATGCCCATAAACAATGCATAACAGAGCTCCAGACACAGTATGACACTTTGAATGAACAATGTTTTTTTGCATTCTATAATAAGACCTGTGTGGCGCTCTGAAAATAATGTGAGTCATCATAGTAAAGTGGATGATGATCCGAGATACGAGGAATTCCCATCACATTCTTCCATGTGCGTTAATATTTCAGAGGATGAATTATGAATGGACCCTATTTCTGCCTCTGCTTGCTGAGACCTACTTTATTATTATGATGCTGTGTGCATGTATATCCTGCAGTCATGAGAGTACCTTGACAGCCACAGAGAAAGAGATAGAACATGAGAAAGAGATAATGAAGCAGAGAAGAAAAGGAGGGGAAAAAACCTGAAAGGGTTCAAACATAAAGTAGCACTGTAGATGAATGAGCTTTCAATATGTCTCCAGAAATAGATCATTATATGCCACTACAGTCACCCACTCCTTTAAATGTAAACTGCTACCAAACCTGTCATTTGTGACCTTTTATGTATTTTATGTCTTAATTTGCAGTAAAGCCCTTGCACAGTGGAACAGCAATACTGTGGTCACAACGTAAAAAATTGTGTCCAGAATTTTATCTAGAGCTTTATTATTCACATTAGCCTGATTAGCATGCTACATGCAAACATGTACATACTCTGCATTTTGCACTAAATATAGCCTCCACGAACCCCTGTCATACCTCCACAGTGAGC